AACTCTCTCATTTTAAGGCATGAAACACATCTGAACAAAGTCTTGCTTCTAGAAGCAAGCAGCATGCTGTAAGTTTTGAACTACACAACTCCAGTACACCCTGAAGACCTCCAGCTCTCCTCTCTCAGGCCCTACATACAAGTGGTACAGCATCTTGGCAAGGCACTTCCTATTTGAGCAAAAAGCTCAAATCACAATATGCTTTCAGTTCTGTTGCACAGATTCAGACCAAACCATGTAACTGACGCTTTGAAAATGTGACAGAAAGCTGAGTTCTTCAGTTAAAGAAAAAAAAAAATTATCTTTGAGGCAGTCATTGTCTTCAACACAATCAGTTCTACTAAGGCTTTCTCAGACACTCAACACACCATTGAAGGGCAACTTCACAGGAACTTTAAGTCATAGAGACACAATATCTACAACATCATTATATTCTTGCTGGCATCATCCTAATTAAAACCACTTCTTCCCTCTCAGGAGGCAGCCTTGACTGTGGGCACCACTGGATGCCTCAGAACAGAGGAATTTCCTCTGAAAGCAGCACTCCTGTGGCACTGAATAGCAGACATCTCATTTGTTTGCTTACAACACCTTTCTCCTTTTGGTTAGAAAGTAGCAAATGATCCTCCTTCACTTTGATCCCATTTTGCTAAACTATCATGCTTTAAATGTCTTTCATGATAAGTATGTAGGATGGAGGGGGGGACTTACAGGGGGAGGGAAGGAGAGAGGGGAAGAATAAAAGAAGAATGAAAGAAAGCTCTTGAAAAATAGGACATAAGGAGTGCCTTCAATTGAATGAACATAAACTAGACACCCAGAAGCAAGAGGGGTTGACGTTTGCCGCATGATGGTGCTTTTTTGTTTATCCCAATAAATAGACCGGCTTTGATGTCTTGCTAAAACTGAAGTGCCCAATAGCAGACTGAAAGCTGCATCTCATCAATTACAACAGTTAAAATCTCCTTTAAGAGGTATTATCCACAAAATACAACTTGGGCACACAGAGCTGAAATTCCAGGTCTGTCATGAAATGATGAGGCAATTTATTGATCTCTCAGTGGGAAACACCAGCCTCCAAAGAGAAAGCTCATTTTTCTCCAACATAGCCTGAAAACACATATTATGTGTAGCTATAAAGCTTTCAAGTAATGAGGCTTCAGGCTGCATTGCCAATCAAAATCCATTAAATGGTCTACTTAATATAGCATAAGAAATGCACAAGCATTCCAGAGAAGCTTAACAAAAATCTAACCCACTTGCAATTACTCAAAATTTTGCTGGAGCTTTAATAGAGCTTGAGATTATTCACTCCAATTTGGTGAAAAGCTACAAACAATGTTGTTTAGAGAGGAATGAAAAACTTTTTCCATTAGACAGCAGGTGCCTATTTGAATTTTCCACTCTTGTGAATATATGATTTATGGTTGGACTGATGGATTCAAAATCTGGCCTGGAGAGTGACTGCTATACACAAATCCCGTTCTGGGTAAATAACTTCAGATTCTAAGTACTGGCAAAGACTGTCCCCCTCCTTCAGTCTGCCTTCTGTGCATGTGTAAAAGTCACTCTGGTAAGCACAGGTTAGATCACAAGCTGAGCATGCCAACAGCAAAATGCTGTTGGAAAACGCAAATGTCTAAGACACAGAAAAAGGAGACAAGTCTACATGGTACAAAACCCCATCCCTCCCCCCTGCTCCATGCTAGTTTGAGTACTGCTTTTGAGTGCCACATTGAAAGCAAGCTAGTCACCAACATCAAAGAATGGAAAATAAGTTATGAAAATCAAGTAGTGTGGTAAATGTGCATAGAAAATATGCATAACATTCCACTGTCAGTGATATCATCTCCACAGGTATTTTAGAAGAAAGCCTGGAAGTTATTTTAGTACATGCTTTTCCCCACAAGCATAAGCATAAAAAGTGATCATCCAAAAATTCAGACAATGTTTATACATATAAATATGAGCTCATTAAAAAAAAAAAAACATATATAGAAAAGATGTATATATTTTAAAACTCTGCAGCTGCCCATAAGCATTTAAATGCTTAAGCTTAATTTAAAGGAAAAGACAAATATTAATGGAACACCACTATAAATCGTTGCAGTTGGCCACACTGCTGTTGCATATACAAATAGCAAACAAATACAAAGAAAACTGCTTCTAGCATTCAAGCTAGAACTTTGGCTTTCACTGCAGTTTTTGGATAAGCTGCTACTAAGCTTCTAGCAGCTTCTCAAAGGAACTACACACAATTCACCTCTTGTCCCTTCACCACAACTACAAAAACAAACTCCTCACAGACATTCCACTCTTTTCTCTCTAGCTGTCTTCAGTCTATGTTTTGCCTGTTACCTCTTGCATACACTACTCTTACCTTGAATTTCTCAGGGCCCGTGTTGGGTGCTGAAAAAGAGAGTGATGGGTTGACCCTGGCTAGATGCCAAGTGCCCACCAAAGTCACTCTGTTCCTCCCCTCCTCAACTGATCAGGGGAGACAATATGACAAAAGGCTTGTAAGTTGAAGTAAGGACAAGGGAAAGATCACTCACCAGTCATGGGCAAAACAGGCTTAACTTGCGGAAATTAGTTTAGTTTTTTATCAAACAAATTGGAGTAGGATAATGAGAAATAAAACCAAATCGCAAGAACATCTTTCCCCCACATCTCCCTTCTTCCCAGGCTTAACTATACTCCTGAATTCTCTACCTCCTCCTCTGCAGTGGCACAAGGGGACAGGGAATAAGGGTTGCGGTCAGTTCATCACATATTGTTTTTGCCACTCCTTCCTGCTCTGCTGCTCTAGTCCTCCTCAGTATGAGGACTCATCATACTCTTCCTCTGTTCCAGTGTGAGGTTCCTTCCACCTAAGACAGTCCTCCATGAACTTCTCCAATTTGAGTCCTTCCCATGCCACCCCCCCCCATCTCCCCCACCCCCCACTGGTCCATGCAAACCCGATGCATAGCTTCAGACAGGAGAAGGAATTTGGGGGTCCAGGCAATATATCCCACAAATCCTCTTCCAGAACTCCACCCATAATGGAAGCAACATACAAATGGGATACAACCAGTAAGTTGCATGTAGGAGCAAAATTAACTAGGTCTTGATTTCTAAAGCCTTATGAATTATTCCCTGAAATGGTCTGCTCCTTGCTTTCACTGACTCAAGGACAGGGCCCTAAAATCCATACAAGTCACCCCATGTAGGCAGTTTTGCAGGTGTTTTGTTTACTAAAATCTCTTTGAAGAATGGCTTATTTCCCTTGACCCACTGTACAGGTTCTGGTACAGAGATCCTTTTCCTCATACTAGGTCAGGCCAAGAAATTTGGGTATTAAGTTGGTCTCAGAAAACACTGACTTACAATCTTCTTTGCTGAAAGTAATTTGTACCCACTGAATGCAATGTCCATGCTGCAAAATTCGACAAATGAAACCTGTTCTGTTGACTTTTTTTAAATGATTTTTCTTGAAGAGGATTAGCAAGCAAATAAGCACTTAAATTAACAAATCACTGAGCTAATATACTACAATTTTACCAAGGTAATTAAAGACAGAACAATGTGATGATAACATTAAGGTCATGATTAAGATCAAACCAATAAATTGAGAAGTTCAAGTGATGTAATCATCAATAGATCAGGATGCAAAACTAAACAGCAGAATTTACAGTAAAAATATACTCTTTTGTTCAAATCTTCCTGTGGAAGAATGCATGAAAACCAATTTTTATCTAGTTTGATGTCCCAGTCCCACTTTCAGAAGAAAGTGGAATGATCTGATTGAAGAAAGGTGCAGATGGATGGTTATGTCCTACAACATAACTTCTTGAACTTTTTTTCTGGTCTGATGTCTTTGCCAAGCAGTTTTAAGCAAGCTCCACAATATTTTGACAGCATTAGCGAAATATTTCTGCCTCCTCTCACTCCCTGACTCAATTCCACGTGGTCTTTGCAGGTGGAAATGGGGAGTATTGAGGTGCTGTATGCTTTTGGTTGGACCCTTTTATAGTTCCTGGCAAAGACAAGAGAAATGTCCAGTCAGAGTTGCACTAAACTCAGACAATTACAAAGGACTTCAGTGATAAAAGAATGACTGTACTCAACCTTCTTCTACTTTGATTAAATCCAAAGACTTTCCCTGTCATGGTTTAAGCCCGGCCGGTAACCCAGAACCATGCAGCAGCTCGCTCACTCTCCCCCTCTTCCTCCCCCACTCCCAGAGGGATGGGGAAGAATTGAAAGAATGTAACTCCCACAGGTTGAGATAAGAACAGTTTAGTAACTAAGGTATAACACAAATCACTACTGCTACCACCAATAATAGTAATGATAAAGGAAATAACAAGGGAAGAGAATACAACAGCTCACCACCTGCCGACTGACACCCAGCCCGACTGAGCAGTGACCTAGCCCTTCCAGGTAACTGCCCCCAGTTTATATAGTGAGCATGACGTGCTGTGGTATAGAATACCTCTTTGGTTAGTTTGGGTCAGGTGTCCTGTCTCTGCTTCCTCACGGTTTCACCTCCTCCCTGGCATAGCATGAGACTCAGAAAGTCCTTGGTCAGACTAAACATTACTAAGCAACAACTAAAAACACTGGTGTTAAAGTGTTGTTCCCAGGCTGAAAGTCAAAACCACAGCACTGAACCAGCTACTAAGAAGAAGAAAAATGACTGCTACTGCTGAACCCAGGACACTCCCTTAACAACAGCCCCCACATCTAGCCTGCCCGACACATGTCCTCGCATATGACTACATTATGCTTTGGGTAATATCTGGAAGGAGTTCTCTTAAATACACCCCTCTTGTTGAAAGCACTGTAGCCCTTCTGCTCAATTCTCTCTTCATCACCAAGGGATCAAAATAGCTTTAGGGATACAGACTTTATTCATTTTATCCCTTCCTAGTCTGTCTATTCTTTCTAATTAAAATCATAGAATCATAGAACAGTTAGGGTTGGAAAGGGTCTTAAGATCATCTAGTTCCTACCCCAAAACATGGTTAGGTGCCAGTGCCTAAATCATATGCGTGTTTTATGGGCTATGAGGGCCTTTTCCTTCAAGGGGAGTGCTAACCTTCTCTCCTTCCATAGAACACAATGAACAAGGTTTACTTTCCTCAGGTAAAAAGTACCTCTTAAGCTGGTTAACATATTCTGTAGTTGACTAGCAGAACAGTAAAAATTCAATTAACAAAAAAAGTAGAATTTTCTTTATTTACATAATTCATTGGCTTATTTCACTGTTAAACATCTCCTACCCTGGATGATATTCATATAACCTGTATTTTTTTTTAAGTACGCTTGTTGATGCACAGACTGACACAATATATATAAGCTGTGTCAGATCTTATCAAGATACAATCCCTTTATAACGACCCATGCCAAAGAGACTTATGTCATAGAATCATAGAATAGTTAGGGTTGGAAAGGACCTTAAGATCATCAAGTTCCAACCCCCCTGCCATGGGCAAGGACACCTCACTCTAAACCATATCACCTAAGACCTCGTCCAACCTGACCTTGAACACTGCCAGGGATGAAGCATTCACAACCTTCCTGGGCAACCTATTCCAGTGCCTCACCACCCTAACAGGAAAGAATTTCCTCCTTATATCCAATCTAAACTTCCCCTGTTTAAGTTTTAACCCATTACCCCTTATCCTACCACTACAGTCCCTAATGGAGAGTCCCTCCCCAGCATCCCTATAGGCCCCCTTCAGATACTGGAAGGCTGCTATGAGGTCTCCACGCAGCCTTCTCTTTTCCAGGCTGAACAGCCCCAACTTTCTCAGCCGATCTTCACATGGGAGGTGCTCCAGTCCCCTGATCATCCTCGTGGCCCTCCTCTGGACTTGTTCCAACAGTTCCATGTCCTTTTTATGTTGAGGACACCAGAACTGCACAAAATACTCCAGGTGAGGTCTCATGAGAGCAGAGTAGAGGGCAGGATCACCTCCTTTGACCTGCTGGTCACGCTCTTTTTGATGCAGCCCAGGATACGGTTGGCTTTCTGGGCTGCGAGCACAGACTGAAGCCAGCTCATGTTCATTTTCTCATCGACCAGCACCCCCAAGTCCTTCTCTGCAGGGCTACTCTTCAGCCACTTTCTCCTAAGCATTCTGTAACACAAGCTAATTCCTTCGACCAGATAACCTCTTCCAGCCTGTAACTCTGTTCAGCTTACAGTGCTGTCCAGTTGCCTGCATCTTGCTTTATCACTTCTTCATTTAATTTCTCTCATTGCAAGCTACTTAGGATGGTTATTTTCTTCTGCTTCATTCCTGGCAGTGTTCAAGGCCAGGTGACATGGTCTAGGGTGAGGTGTCCCTGCCCATGTCACAGGGGTGGAACTAGATAATCTTAAGGTCCTTTCCAACCTGAACAATAAAATCTACCACTGCTTAGGTCACAGGTCACCATTTGGGCAAGTGAACTGACAAGAGGTGCCAGTCACAGAAACACACCTTACTCAGGCATTGCTCTGTCTCATCAGTACCTCACTGGCAGTGGGGCTCTTAGGTCCTATAACCCTGAATGTGACAACAAATGGTAGACTGTTGCAGCACAGAAATGGGTAGGTTCAGATGACTCAGAAAAATTAAACTACAGGATGTGAAAAGATTCTAGGTAGCTACCAGCCACTGAATCACCTAGAAGGCACATGTAGTGATGGTATGGACTTTAGTGACATTCCTTACTGTGAACTTTCACAATGTGGCAGATCTTCCATTTATAAATGTCTTTCAGTTTTCCTAAGAAATTGTCAGTACAGATTACAAATTACCACAGAAGTAAAAGCAAAAAAACCCACAACCCAAACCAACAAAACAAAGAACAACAAAACCCTAACAGACATTTTCATGGAATTTCTTTCACAGGAGAGGTAATAAGTTTTGTAACCACTGCTCAACTCTGCAGTACTTGTACTATAGCACCAATGCTGCACGCAAGGGTACTCATTGCTCTTGGAACAACTCAAGCTACCAAGTCAGTACACCCATGAAACCTCAATGAAAATTGGATGGATGAGCTTTTGCAGTTATTTTCCTGCAAGAAGAAGGACTATAGGACAGCATGTCAGTAAATGGGGTCTTGGCCTGCCTTTATTTATGAATAATAAATGAGGAACAAAGCTGTTTGAAATTAGCATACAGAAGAAACAACAGATTGGGTAAAAACAGTGTAATCTCAAGCCCATTACCTTGTGACTGGTTATGTTTAGTCACAAAGTGACTGACCAGTTATGGTGCTCAGAGGAAATACTAATTTAGACAGGTGTGGCTAAATTTACCTTCATTAAAAACTCTCATTCTTAGCCCAAATAATTTATTTAACCTTGAAGCACATGTTCAAATTTCCTTTATTCATGCTGCACTGCCCATAAACTTTTTATTTTAAAACTATGCAAATCTGTCACTTTTCCATTATTTTTTGCTAGTCTACAACAATTTAAACTTTGACGCAAATGAGAATACACTACTTATTCTTAAATGAACACATTATTTGTGGTAATCCTCTGCATTCACAATGGAAACCACTATCTCGGACTACTTATATTCTTAAGTCGCTTTCTGAATAGTGTGTTGTTTCAGGAATGCATTATCAACCACAGAACTCTAGTTGACATATACTGTTTATTACATAGGTGCTGCTGTCTGCTACAGAGATACTGCAAATTATCAACTTTCCTGATTTCTGGATAGAAAGTGAGGAATTAATCTGATGAACTTCAAGTTTTGTTCATATCATGATGTTCTTGGTATCATGATCCATCGTGAAAGATTAAACAGAGGTATCCTATGAATCAGATTCGTTTTAGTCAGTGACCACAATGCAAATTATTTCACTGAATAAATTTACTCCACCTGGGCTACAGCAGTAGCTTCCTTTGATTAGAGCTACATGTTCTAGTCATGGTTATGTGTCCTGTTTCTGATTAGTTCACAACCAGCTACGGCTGTATGGTTACCAGACAAAGCAAATTCTATACACCTCTCATTGACTTTAGCAATAACTGTGCATTTCAGCAAATCAAACACAAGCTGTGGATATTAACCCTGCAAGTGTCCAGCAGAAATATCTTTTAATCTAAGGTGGGGCTGGCACATAATTAATTTATAGGGAGATATGACTTTATATTTTCTAGGTAATATATCTGGGAGGTAGGACTAGAATCAGTGGTGTGGGCTATTCTCCTCTGAGATCTGTAATAAATTTCTTACATTACAATCTGTTGTGAAAAATACTCCGGTAGTCATGCTCCATACATTGGAGGCATTCTAAGTGGCCAGCCACTGAGTCCCCATTGGATGATAACACTGACCAAATTTCTCATCATTTCACACTATCACTCCATAGCTGTGTGCTTACTGCAGCTCACTGCTATAAAAATGATTTTTAATGGAAAAGATCTGACAGAAACTTTATGCTTCCCTGACAAAATTTTTATTGGGCTGAATACTGGAGTATTACTGACGTAGCTTTGGACAGGCAGCTACGAGCTGAGGAATTGCTCTGGGAGAAGGATGGGAAAGAAGCTTTTATTACTGTCTTTACATCTCTGAAATGAAATGCCCTCAGAGCAGAGGGAGAATCTTGGATGCTGCTATCAGAGAATGGTATGATCTCTTGGGGCTTATCACCACACTCACACTATCAGAAAGAAGTCATATTTTTTCCCCACAAGTTTAACACACCCCCAAATCTTATGCCCTTTTTTATCACCATAATACCTGAATGCCTCCTAGTCTTGTAGTTGATGCCTGCAAAATGGAAAGTGGACAGAGACTAATGACTCCTGAACACACGGGACCATTTCCCTCCTCTCCCATTACTGAACAAGGGATTTGAGCACACTGCACTTCCTTGCCATCAGCAACCTGGGGTACTGATGCAGGGCTATAATCCCATGCTGTAGCTACACAAATTGAAGATAAGAGTGAAGCGGAGCAGCACAAATGACTGACAGCCATGGTTGCACCCTCATCTTTTTCCTCTCTCCCCACAGGAGCATGCCCTTGCATACTCCTTTGAGAAGACAGAACTCATAGAATCACAGAATGGTTTGGGTTAGAAAGGACCTTAAAGTCATCTAGTTCCAACCCCCCTGCCATGGGCAAGGACACCTCACCCTAGACGATGCCTCCCAAGGCTCTGTCCAATCTGCCCTTTTTTCAGAGCATCAAATGAGAGAAAGGACAAAAAGAGATTAAAAACATCCACAAGCCATTTTTGCAGCAGTAGGATTGTCACAGCTTTTGGTTAACTTGGCCACACTGCTATGGAGCTAGAAGCTGCCCTGTGCTCCAAGAAGAGTAGAGGGGCTTAACTGCTAAACTGCCTGGCCAGTCAAGGTTAGATGCCTCTGTGTGTGATTTCTGTCAGAGTCGTATCATTCAGGAAAGAGCTGCTTACAGCAGTCCATGAGCTTGGCAACACAGGACAGTCAAAGACGTGGTAATCTATTTCCCATCACAAACACACTTAGAAGACACACCCAGGGGCTTCTTCCCCTCCAAACCCCACTGCTCCAAACGCTTTGCTCAGGGCATGTATCAAGGGCAAGCCTTCCTGCTCAGTGCTGAGGAGAGCCATGATTGGCTGGCCTTTGAACAATGCTGCGTAGCACCCCCTTAAAGAGGAGAAACCAGAACTGCTCTATTAATTGTGTCCTAACATTTCTACCATGTTAGTAATCAGCACCATCTCAAAGCAGGCAAGGTTTATTCAAGCCAAACTTAGTAACAAACCTCAAGTAACAAACCTCAGGGAGCTCTAAGCACAGTAACAGTAATCAAAGTCTGACCTTCAGAACCTCTGACTATGCTTGAGTCTTAACATTCAGATGCAGCCTAAAGATGTTAGGTCTGGATTTATGAAAGTATTTAAGGGCTTAAAGATGCAGATACAGACAGCAGCAGAATTTTGAAAAATGCCTAAGTGCTTAATATTATGAAAATCCTCTGAAAACCTGACTAGTGAGATATCTGTATCTCAAAGTGCTTAATGCTGAGTAGACCAAAGGTCACAGTCCCCCAACACTTTCTTACAAATACTGCTAAAAACCTGGCCTTAAGGAGCCAATGGCTTTTAAAAA